AGCTCGGACTTGCTTAGGACTTGGAGCTCTTCCGCACCTCCTTCTTGTTGCCATGATTCCGCTCGAAAGTTGGCCTAAATGGGAGGGAAGGAGTATTTAAAATACCTCCTTAACTTAATCCTTAAGTTACTCTAAGTTACCATGGTAAAATCTTTAGCCATCCATTTTTAACCTTCTTCTAAAATGGACAAATCTCATGGCTTCCCTCTCTTAATGTTGCCATGTGTGTGCTTATGATCTTGCCTTCCATGTTGATCAAGTCATGTGTGTTACAACATTTTCCATCTAAAAATCTATCTACACATCCTCATAATCTCTTCCATGTCCCTTCATTAATTTGGCAATAAAATAGGGAGGAAATTGATAGGAAATTCGTGCAAAATATGTCCCTTAACTATTCTTCCACCTACCTTGCCATTCTACATCGTCTCAGGTACTTTTTTGAGCCTTGATTTATCCAGGACCACTGGGACATATTCTGGCAACCTTTCTTCATCTCAAATAAGTCCACATGGCATTACATATGCTTGCTATGGAGGGAAAAATGCTTTTCCCTCTACCTTTCATTAAAATCATTTAATAATTATTTATTTCGAAGTAAACTTGACTAAATTCTTTTTACTAGTCCATAGCCCTAACTCTCTATTTTTGGGTACCAATACTATTTATTCATCACAGAAAATTTTTTAATTCTTCTCAGGTCAGAGTCAACCTGTAGACGATTTATTTTGACTTCTTCCAGATAACGTATAAATAGGTTTTAAATTCTATTAAAGCCAACCTCTCTGCTTCCTAGGGACAAAATTATTTTTAAAATTTGTAATAATTCCTCAACTGCTTATCCCCTAGTTTCTCTGACCATATGAGGCCTCCTCATATTTTAAATAATTCAATTTATACTATTATTGATAATTAGCCAAAACCCTAAAAATTTCTCAAATTTACTCCAAGGATATTGTCATCATTTTTAGTCTCATACGGGCCTCACGACCTCATTCCTTTTTTCCCAATTTTTTTGAAATATCTGGGCCCACTTTCATCACTGCTTAATTTCCAACCTGAAACTGTTTAAATTATATTTAGATCATTGCTTGGGTTTAACCTCAGGAGTCCTTCCAGTGAGGTTTCCAGCATAATTTCTAGCCCTTAATCACCTCAACTCCTTATACTAGACCCACTGAGACTTCACTGGAGTCTCTATCTTCTTTTCTCCGTCCCAAAAAACTTTCACTTTGCGATTTAGTCATTGACAATCTTTTTGTCCCTCCAGGAAACCTTTGGGACTCTTGCCAGAAGGGGTTTAGTAGCCTTCACATCTCAAGTTATTTCCTGCACCTTTGAATGCAAAATTCAGGATGTTACACTCCCTATAGTCCTTTTTATAAGATCTAAAAATTTCAGTTGGTTTAGTTCTTTTTATGAAATCCTATTTTGATGTACTTGAACATTAAATGTATCTTTATCAATTTTGTCCCTAATTCATTTTTTATCCTCTTTTTCTCATATTATATTCTTTTTCATTCTTTATCTCATTATTAATATTTCTCTCTCTTATTTGCCCAAGAGGGAGTATCTTTCTTGGGCAATTATAACTAATTAAAAAAATACAATTCAATTTTATATATTTATCTTTTAAAACTAATTATAACTATATTTTTAAACCGTGTGATGTAATTAAAAGAATTTTATAAAAGGACAAGAGGGAGTATCTTTCTTTCTATCTCTATTGACGTTTGGTGTGATTCTTACGTACTGGCTCTAGTTTCTAGGTTGTCTCCTCCTTATTTATATTTGGTTTATGTTAACATATTTGACTATTTCATAGAAAAAGAAAAAGATAAGATTGCTATTGCAGACTTAACTATATTTGCAAAATTTTAAAATTTAGTAGACATGCCAGTCAACCAATGATTTGAAATCCAGACCCGACGGTTGGACTGGTTTGGCTGTCAATGATCACTTTGTCAGTTCGATTTGGAAGCTTTAACCGTTTGAGGTGTTAAGCTGGTTTCAGCCACTCAGAACCAGCTTTTAGGCTAGGAGCTAGATTTGAATTGGGAATCGGAGCGGTTTGTAAGAAACCAGACAACTGGAGGAAAAAAACGAAGAAGGTGAAGGGGAAACTGGGAAAGGAGAGGGGTCAACGTTGAAGAAAAGAGAAAAGATGGAGATAGAAGAAAATTATCATAAAAAATACTATTTCTTTTTGTTGGCCACCATAAGATGAACGGAGAAAGCAGCAGAATGCTCAGGAAATCTGAGAATTCAAAACTTAGAGGGAGCTGAAGATGCGGTGAAAGAGAGCCAACAAGATGAAGAGAAGCCGAATCTGTATACGAAAGAGAGAATAAAAAGCTAGGACTTTCAATTGACATTTGATTTTCATTTTGTGTCTGACATATTACATCGTGCACACTTTGAATTTCTTTAATTTTGTTTCTTCACTTAAAAAATAATGGAGAATTTTGAATCTTTCTAGACATTGGAAGCATTGATACATCCATCAGCATATCCCATCATTCATTAATCTTAATTATCAATATTAGTTATATATATAATTATATTGCTTCACAACCCCCTTAGGGAAGAATTTATAAGCTGTTGATTGTACTTATATTATATTTTTTAATTGGGAAAATTGGAGACAAATTCCTCATTGATAATTCATTTGGTAAATGGGACTTAAGATGATTGATTACATAAGAGAAGATTAGTTACACACAAAAGAAGGTAAGTTATACAAAGAAAAGATAGTTTGCACGAAAAATTATTGGATATAAGAAATTTGTTTGCACGTAGGGAAGATAAATTACACACAAAAAAAGTTAATTTGCACAAAATTCTTAAGCTCCATTTGCCAATTAAATTTTTAACGAGGGATTTATCCCCAATTTTCCCTTTTAAATTTTTATAATTATGAATTACATGTACAATTGATATAAAGATAGAAGTATATTAGCATAGATAATGCATTATTTTAATTATGACTATGATGGGTTGAATTTCTTCTAAAACCATGAAATTTAATAATTTAACTATTTTTTCAAATTAACAAACAATTTAATATTTTATTTTTTACATATATATGTATATAATGTTATTTTTATTTAATTATCGCATCAAACCAGACGGTTTAACCGATCCGCCTGTTTAAACCATGACCAACCGCTGATCTCTCTGGCTCGATGTCCGGTCCGGCTTTTAAAACATTGCAGTCAACCTCCTTAACTATATTTGCAAAATATCTTAATAAGTTTTATCATCATAGGGGCTCTTAACACAAAGTGGATGAATTGTTCAATCTTTCCTTACCTTTCAAATTGCTATAGTTCAAAATCGTCAGGGTCTGTTTACATATTAGAGTTTTATAACAAACACCTACTACTTATTTTATGCTTTTAAGCAATGAAAAAAAAACCGGACCGGACCGGCCGGTTCAACCGGAAAACCGGTGAACCGGTCTCTAGTCCGGTCTGGTTTGAAGAATAAACCGGCTTTAAATCGAACCGGAAAAAACCGGAATGAACCGGAAAAAACCGGTAAAAACCGGGAAAACCGGTGGGTTGAATGGGTCACCGGTTTTTTTTTCCTCCTTTCTTCTTTTTTACTCTTACCATCTCACTGTTCACCAGAGAAGACATTAACACGGTTGAGAGAAGTGGTAGAAGAAGAAGAAATCATAAAAAAGAAATACCCATTTAGAAGTCTCTTGTGGGCGCTTCGAACCCATGCTTGTGGAAGAGTGGAAGGCAAGGAGGAACCGAGGAAGATAAGTAATAGAGCAGAAGGGATGCGTAGAGAGAAAAAGAGATCACTGTTTATCATTTCTGTGTGAGAAAGAAACAGAAACGCAGAGGGCTATTTGAGAAAGAAAGAGAAATGAAGAAAGAGGACTGAATTTCAAAATTTGAACCAGAGAATAATGCAACCTAGGTAGCTGCCACTACACTCCTCACTCCTATCTCTTGTGGGAGCAGATCGTGGCTCAATGGCTTACGTCAAGGCTCAGAAAGAAAATAATGCACAAGTAATCTGCCATTCAATGAGGAGAGAGGAAAAAAGAAGTAGCCTTGTGATATGTGCTATGACATTCACGTGAGAGAGAGAAGGAAGAGACAAAAATATAAAATAATAAGGAAAAAAATTGCATTGGGCGAAAAAAAGAAAGAAAAGAGAAAAGGTGTAATCAAATTATATTATTTTAATTATTATCGGTTTAATCCGGTCTAACCCCGATCTGACCCATTAACCCTTAACCCACTACCTTAACCGGTTTAGTACCCGGTTCGGTTTTTTGTTCCTTGCTTTTAAGATCCTTAAGATGAATTTTTTGCTTTTTTTTCGTTGTTTTTTAAAGAGAGTCATTCCGTGAAACACTTCTTCCAAAACCTAATGACTATGAATCATGAACATTAAACTCGGATTCATCTAAGCCTTCAGAGTACAACGAGAGCAGACAAATTCTTCCTAGCCCAACCCAACTAGAGACAATCTTTTCAATTGTCAGGTTAACCCAAGTCAAACCCGAATTTTAGTTCAGAATTTGCCGCCAAGGAAGGATGACTAGGTCAAATACCAGCTCAATACAAGGGATCTGATCACACTTCTTGGATTACGTAGCTTCGCCCTGAAGTTTTGCAATTTGTAGTCCCGAAAATATAGTGAATGCTATTTTGATCACTGAAATATATAAATGGACTTCAATTTTCACAGGTAGATTGTCACATCATAAACTTTGTTATTTATAAAGCACAATCACATTATAAAAAATATTTAATATTTGTAAACTATGTTGAAGCAATATTTCACAGCCAAATTAATCTCCTATCTAGATATTGGATATACAAAGTTCAAAGAAAACCCCCTTCTTAGGTATGGATAAAGTCCTAAATAAAATAGAACGATAGCATTGCAGACATTTGGGGCATCAAAACGCTCATTAACTTGACTGTAATGGTGACTAAATTGAAATATCTACCCAGAACAAAAATAAAATTTTCTCCAAATATATATGAACCGTTGATCATATTTGGCAGAAACAGACCTGATTAACTTGAGCTTGGGTAAAGGTAAGAAGCTGGCACAAAATAAAAACGCCAACTAGCAACAAACTATGGCAACAAACAAAAGCAATTAGCTATTCTTGGAAAGCGAATTAGAAAAACTCCACCTCATTTTCACATTTGCGAAAGTGCGGCGTTACAGTCATAACCCTAAGCGAAAAGCAGTCAGTGGCGGGGCAAACACCCAATAATTAGATTAGATGAAATTACAACATAAATTTCCGCTGGCCTTGGACAAACAAAAAAATATAAATATATATTTTTTACGTAAAAGAAATGAGTAGAAGATGAAGTCTCTCCCACCATGAAAAGATCTCAGAATCTGAAGTCAGGATCCACATCCATTGCCCAGGTAAATTTTGCCAGCAGAGATTTATTGAAGATCTGAGCGTTCCAGCCAACAAGTAGTATATGAATCAGTAAAATTGTGGCGTTAAGGACAAAAATACAGCTAATTAGTACGGAGTGCCAAAAATAAACCGTTAGCGGCTTACAAACAATGACTTCTATAAACTTTATAGTATACACAAGTGATTCTCGCAGTATTAATCGTGCATGGGCTTGAATTAACAATTAGGCAGAGTTATACAAGCAATTTTTTGATGATTGAAGCAGCCTTGCCTCCGGCCATCACAAGGAAACTGTTACCCACTAAGCCACTAACCATGTCAAGTTTAACTGTCATTTCAATGAGTTCTATTTAAGAAAACAAGAAATAGAGGAAATACCTTTCTTCCCCACTGAGTTTTACCAACCGCCCCCCCCCCCCAAAAAAAAAAAAAAAAAAAACTCCGTTAAACAAAAAATTATGTTGCTTAACCATGATACTTCAAGATTGGGATCCTTCAATCCATTCTCTTGTTTCCCATGAAGCAAAGAAATCACCCTCAAACTCGCATCATTTGTTTAAAAATAAATGGGAGTGTACCACATCTGACAGGGAACGCTAGTTTACAATTTTCTAAGTTCAGAGAGGTTAATGCAAATCGCTCAAAGATGAAGGCATTTGCATTTTTCTTCTAAGTAAATATACTTTGAGACTGGCAACCAAAATATGTGTCTGTGTGTGTGCGCGCGTGCACTGGGAAAAACACTAGTTCACAATTATTTCTTCAAGCCTATTAAATTCTTTTCAGCACTGGCAGCATAAAAAATTATCATAAATAACTTTATATGAACAATTGAAGAAGCCAGCACCTTTTCAATAGGAACCTCATGCCGCTTGCACCAAGCCACTGTAATCCTGGGATCCAGGTAGTTTATCTTGGACGTGCCTAATGCCACAGTTTTGAGATCTTCTTTAGTCTTCATATCACGTTGCATCTTTTTAATTTTCACATCGGTTTGAGCGATCTTTTTCTCTAGTCTGTAGATTACAACAACAATTACATGTCATAACCAAACAAGTAAAGCCCATGGTATGAAGAAAGCCATCTTACGCTTCAGGAGATAGGTTCCGTTTTCTCTCATTACTCTTCAGAGGAGATTTTCCTTTCTTTGCCCTTTCCAAATCTGTTTTCAACTCCTTCAGCTCACGCTACAGGTATACAGTAGGTCAGCTTGAGTTATAAATTTATGAGAAGTGACCCTAGTTAAATCTAATTCCAACAACCGCCAAGAAATTCACCAAAGCCCAGGAATTCTCAGTACCTGAAGGTCGGCAATCTTCTCAGTTAACTTTGACATTTGTGCGGTGTGAGATTTTGATACACTACGTTGGTGATTACAAATTATGGCAACCTGACACCAAAGGACAATAGCAATGAAGCTGAAGAAGTATGCAAAATGAATACAGAGAAGTAAGATCAGTGTGTTGCACATGTATTGAGCCATTCACCTGCTTGTTCGCACTCTGATAGACACCAATTTTCTCTGCAACATCGCCATCTTTAGTATCCTTAGTCAACTGTCATCAGAGAATCCCAGAAAATTGAGCATACAACTTCCTGATGACAGGCCAGAAGGAAACAACCAAGGTACAAAAAACGCCTGACAACAATTTGCATGATAGCATTTTGCCATGAAAATAGAATTAACGCATTCTTGCCATGGGATATATAGCATACAGGAAACAAGGATTTAGTAAAGCATTCTAGAAGTGTATTGTAAGTTTATAATTAAGGTAAAATTTCAACTCCAATGAAAGATCTAATGCTTTCTAGGGATGCACTCTCTCCTCACCTGATGTAGGAAAAAAATATAGGGAAGAGAAGTTTTCAGCGTCAACAATACAATTATTAACAGAAGAATAATTGATGGGTATGTAGAAGCATAGGAGAAAATGGGAGTTACAGTATAGTCATTTCAACGCATGTTAGTTTAATGATTTGCAGAATAAAACCATTATTACCATATCATCCAGTGTGAAAGATGCATTGAATGTACGGAAGACTTTAGCTGTTAGGCCAGGCATCAATTCCTTCAAGTGAGCATTTAGTTTACTTGTATCTAGCTTGTCAAAAAGATCATCACCAGGGCGTTTTCCTGAAGATCAAAACATCAAATACTTGAGGACCGCAGTTTCAAAGCATAGATATAACATCATAAAAACTAGTGTCCCACCTTTTTGGAACTTTAAAATGGCTTCATAAACAGGAAGTTCAACCTCTACCGTATTCTCATACTTAATTGAATCTTTACCAAGGAAGTTAAACTGCATTAATCCAAATAAGAAAAATTGATTACTAATAGAAGAAAGTTCTGAGATGCTATCATTAAAAGATTAAAAGATCAAGATGAAACAGAAATTTTAAATCCCTGAATCTAACGACTTATAATCTAATCAGTCATTTCCAACAGAAAAAGAAACAGAAAACGTGATAATTTGAAAGCCGTAACACCTGCAACTTGTTGGGGGCTTCTGCTGTTACATTTTCCACTTTTAATGTGCAGCAACCAACAGTATCAGCTTCATCATCATCCTGAGAAAAGGTAACTAAAATAACTAAATGCTCAAGAAATTTGTGTGTGTGTGTGTGGGTAATGAGTAAAAATCAGGATAGCAGCAAAGTAAATGAAAATGCCAACAAAGCTACAAGAGGAATCTGCTACAAGTCCAATAAAAATTTATAAACTGAAGCAAATACACCATTTATAGAACTCCACATTATTTATTCTATGATTACTTTAATGCAAATGTTCATACGGGATAGTCTTCACCATTGACTAAATATGAATATATTTCTTTCAACAGACTAGAACAAGGTGGACACTTGGAAACATGATTTCTTGTGGATTTTAGAGCCTAAGCATTTTGACTGAAACTAGCAAGGACTTGAATTTCAAGTTCACTGATGAATTTGACAAGCATTCAAAATAATTCATGCTTTTATGCTTGGGCATGAGTGTTGTACTCTTCTCATCCATTATATGTATGATCTGCAGTGACAAATGAATGACAACTTCTCCAGACAATACCTTCTCATTGCCAGCCCTCAGAGCTAACTTATCGATAAGGTAAGTAGCAACAGCTATTTGCCGCCTTGTAATATCTTTACTTCTAAAATCCTTTGTGTATGCAGCCCTGATGTTCCCTATATAATTCTGCACCAAGATACCAATATCCAAATTGATTAAACAAATTACAAGAAATCTTACCCTAAAGTATCATGAATGAATACAGGATGGAGTTCATAAAAAAATATAAAGCATAGAGGCACCTTCAGCATCCTAGCTTTCTCATACTTTTCCTTGTCACTTTGCCCCTTCAAAGAGCTACTAGCAGCCAGGAAAACATATTTAAACAACTTTGGGTTGATTGGATCATTCCAGAATGCTAACCACGTAACTGTATTGTCATGCCTTATCTCCTTCCACCTGCCAAGGTCACAAATCCCAAGGAATCAAAAGTAATGTCATCTTTGAACTTTGACTAGATGTAGTATCAAGTTTTTCCTGCCCTCCAATGTCTTAAAGTAACTTACTTTTCACCAGGGACAGGGCATTCAGGAATTGGAGCATCCTTTCCAATATTAATTGTGATATCACTTGGACGAATGCGCTTTTTCAGTTTGCCCATCTAATGACAAATAGAAATAAACCATTATTAACCATAAAATCCGGTAAAATATCTCATGTGATGTCGCATTGTAAGATATCATTATTATATATCTGAAAAAGCTCTACTACTATTAATTAGCTAGGACAGTAACCTTTGGATGCTCTCCACGACCTCGGAACAACCCTGGTGGTTCAACTCTAAAGTTTCCAACCTACAGTGAATTGTCAATAACATTTAGTCAAAACTCGAACAACTTAACAAAGGGGAACTTGAAATTAGCAACTTGCACAGAGAAGAATAAGATAATTCATATTTCATAGCTGGCACTCAAACAGGAGGAAAGAATAATAAGTTCGACTTCATAAACACATAACAACTGACACAGACAACATTGAAGCATGAAAAAGCATTTAAAATAGGGAAACAAACAACCATAAATTTTATGAAAGAAATCTACTTAACAGCACGCAGAAAAGAGCTACAGAACCCAGTAACGTCTGACAAAGCCACAGATATATAGGAATTAAAGGGGGAGGCCAGAAGGGTAGATAGGAAATTACAATAGAGGGTAGTTAGAGTATTCAACGCACACCTGTTTTGTAGGGAGCAGGCATATGAAATCATTGTGAATGAATTAGTAACTATTTTGCCATGTCAGGATTTTGCCATGAATCACAGTCAAAAATTCTTTAGCCAGCACACGGGCCAATATAATGGATTGCAGAAGCCACAAGAAGTTGAATCATAGATTGGGAGTTAAAGAAATTTTAAGAGCGTGGAGAATGTGAGAGCCAGCATTAAAGTACCTTCTCCTTAACACCATCAACTATAGCCCACATATATTTCTCCTCCTGTTTAGCTTTCTCCTCCTTAAGGGCCTTCTTTTCCTGCATGAACCCAAGACAAGAAAGTCAGCAGTTACCCAATAGAGAGAAATGAATTATAACCCCTTCAACCGACTTAGTCTTAATGCATCTTATCCACCCAAAATCTTAAAAAGAAAAAGCATAAAGTTGAAGGCCTCAATAAAATAGACTATCAGGAACCTAACCTAACCTAGAACTATCAATAGTGATCCAAACTCCCTAAAAAGTAAAAACTACCCAAATTAGTTACATGATTGAGGACCCATTATAAATTCACCATGCTTGTTGGGAAAATCACTGGAACAACATTAAGGAAAATAGCAACATAATTAATTTTAGTAAAATTACTTCTGATTGGCATAATAAGGAAATTACTTTTATGTGTATATATACAACCACGCATAAAAGTCCAACATACAAAAAGCAGTGAAGGACAAAATTAACTCTCAGTTTGACTGCCAGCAAGTGAAAATGCTACAGAATTAATATTAGGGTGCCAACAGACATTTGTCCCACAAAATCATGGATCAAAGCATGCTCTGGTTTTATTTCTTTTTGGGCATAAGAAGCCCCATAGTTGTTGATGGCATGTAGAACACTATTGCAACAGCCATGGCACCTGAGGCATTATTGTGATAAGGGACTCTTGGAGCCAAGTCATGCCGAGCATGGCAGCAAAAGGTATTAGTAAAGGGTCATATTCATATAATTCAAAACATGGCTGCTAAAAATGAGTTTGAGATTGCAGCAAACTCAAAAAACTCAAGTTTGTGGGCATCACACAATTTGTGCTGCAACCTAGTAACAGTTTTACCTTTATACTTCTTCTTTCATTGACCAAATCCGTCAACCGAACTTAGACCAGCCCATCTGACAGCAGGATGTGTTAATGGACAAAAAATGATTGACATGAATGGCCCTCTCCATTGATCCATGACTCTGTTATTTTATTCATTTTTTATCTACATTTCATGTATTCATATCAATAAATCAACAGAGGGCATTCACATGCTGTTGATATGTAGGTTTCTGACTTGGGTAAGTGTATTTGTGAGAATATTATTGCACTATCTGTAAGTTGAGAATTTGGCATTTAAATATCATTGTATAAATATCTGTACATATATATTTTTGCTTTATATTCTATTTTAAGCACTATCCATAAAAGCAATATATGCTCCAAGTTTTCCACAAATATTATTAACTGATGTAATATAATCCTTACAAGTTTACATGAGTCTACCCTCTCCTCACAAATGCACTATAACTTGCAAGTATGACCTTGGTTTAAAAGAATTTTTTAAGACAAGTAATATATCAAACAGACACGCACAGGCAAACTAAGAAGCAACCGGGTTCTTGTATGTAATGCTTAAAATCATTCATTCCAAATCATAATCACCAAGTTGTTTAACTTGCTATTTGGATAGTTGAGGTCCCTCAGGGTTTTTAAACATGTTTATGAAAATATAAGGCAGGCAAAATATCAACTAAATTATATATATTGATATATCAAGTGATGCGACCCATCAAATCAGACTGACATCTTATAATTCTTCAGCCAGTTGGCTAAGGATCAACTGCTACAGACCCAGGTCTCAAAATGGCTATTTATCAGGAAGTTTGAGAGACGGATTTTAGAAGTTCAGGGACAAATTATCATTTCTATTCTAGATTGTGGAGTGGCCTCGCAGTTTAGAATAGGTTGCTGAGCCTTCTTAATGGCAGCTGGTTCTGTCCAGGTGTTTTCTTCTGCCACTAGGTTTACAGCATATGGGCAGAGAAAGGAGCAAAAAGTGCCAGGGTGGTGTGCGGTTATAGTAGCATGATGGCACATTTAGTTAACACGGACAAGGCTGTTTTGGTTTTAAAGGATTCTGTTTTCTCCTGTGGTGCGAGTAATGAATGAGCGCATGCATGATGTGCTATTTTCTCGAATTCGCCAAACACTTGGCCTGCTCACTGGCCTAAGCAGCGCCATCCACAGTCCTAAGATATATGGAGAATACGAAAGAAACAGATAGGAAGAGAGAGAGAAGATAAACAATAGTAAGACACTGAAAGATCTGGAGTACACAATCAGCAGTTTTAGAAAGCCTTCAAAATTAGTCTCCTTATATTGTGCATGTGTCATCTGCCACACACCAGTACCCATGGGCGTATGGTGAGGGCCGCATTGCACCAATTTTAGCTTTTTCTCTTTTTATTAGATAACTTTCATATCTTATCTAGTATTTTTAATTAAAAAAAATTTTACAATTTTTATATAATGTATAATATTTTGCAAGTGAAATTTTTCTGCTTCGAATAACATATTATATTTGATTAACTACAGCATGACACCTCAGTGCTGCTCAAATGAAGAAGCCTCTTCCAGCTTGAATCCAGTATCTTTGTTGTTTACAGTACTGTTCCACAGTTTGAATCCATTAACCAAAACCTACTCATCACTTGCCAGCATCACCCAATCCTTATACCCACTTCATCTTTGTATACCAAACTCTTGCTTCTTCTACTCATTCATACTTCATTCTTAATTTCTTATATTCCACCGATCCGCATGAGGCAGTCACTCCTTAATCTGAAAAAGGTGTTGAGGGCACTAAGAGGCAAGATTGAAGCCATTGCAATGATGCTGTTTTGTGCCTCACCTTTGTGCCTAAGGCGCTAAGGCTCACACTTTTGACTACCCTGACTAAATGACAATTGCAATGCCAAAGTCTTGGCATTGTCCAACTCACATATACCATGCACATTAGAAGAACTCATTAAATTGAGTAGTAAGATCAACGTAATGAGCAATATATCATTTGAGGAATCAAGGCATCATCTAGCACAATACCAGCGCCAAGTCAAAATTAAATCTTACAAAAATTTATACCCGCTTGTGAAACAAGAGATAAACTAACCACAATATGAAAGTTGCTTAAGTGTCAAATCATCAACATTAGCATTATAATTAAAGTTGAATTCCACAAACGGAAGAAATGACGCTTTGTTATAATTCTAAACTTTGTTATTTTAAACCAAGATCATGCTAGATACCAACTTACTTCTGTACTCATTTGCTTCTTCTTCTCTTTCTCAACTTGACACCAGTCATATATTGGTGTAAAGTCACAATCTTCCAAGTTCTGAATTACATGGTTTTTTCCTAGCAACTTGCGCCAGTCACTCCAGAAATTACTTTTGAATTTTTCTTTTTGCATATAATCTGTGTCTCGCATGACAGCAAACATAGTTGCAACCTACAAAACATATTTAATGTTCATTTACACTGTCAGAATGTCTCATGGAGATTTCATAATATCAAAAACTTAGGAAACAAAGTGATTAAAGAACATCATCTCTTCAGAAACAGATAAAAAGGCAAACAATCTAGCAAAATAACTTTACAGTGATAAAACAACACCTCCTCTTGCTCAGGAGTCAAATCGACTGGCTTCCCTTTGTAGAGCATCTTTATTCCATGAGGCTTGTAAGGAGGTGGAAAAATAACACCATTATGAACCAAAGTAGTCCACTTCTTCTGCCCATCTCCTGCACTAGGAAGAAGTTTTGTGGACTTGGAATATTCTGAATTACTGCCTGATTTCTTCATCTTCTTGGCTTGTTTCTTAAATGATGCTGGACCAGACTTATTAACTTTAACTGCCTTTTCGATCTTCTTCACTGATGATGACTTATTTCCTGATGCAGAAGACTTTGCTAATCTTTGCGAAATAGGAACATCATCATCATCATCATCCACCTTTTTCTCATGCTTCACAGGTACTTGCTTAATTTTGATTGATAAAGCTGGATCCGAGAGCTTTGGCTTCTTCGAAGAAGAATTCAGGGAAATAGTTTTATCTAGTGGCCTCTTAACTGACCCTGTAATGGGCTTTTCCTGTTTAATACTCATGCTGGAACCTTCTTGATGACTTTTCTGAACTTTCAAAAGAGGTTTTTTCTGATCAGAGTGATCATATCCACTTCCAGATGTTCCTGCATTCCGTGATAGCCTCGCTGACAAAGGAAGATTATCATCATCATCAGAGTCTTCAATAGGTTTCTTCACAATGGGAGCAGCTTTGCTATTACGATTGGAGTTCATTTTCAGCCTGGCACTCAAGGGTTTGTTATCCTCCTCCTCATCAGAATCTTCAGAGTTTCCTCTCGGAAGATGTTTGATGGAGGGTTTTTCCTCCTTAACATCATTGAGCACTTTCGATCCTGGAAGAGGCTTGGACATATCTCCTGACAATGATACTTTAGGATTTGCTAGAGGCAATTTCACGTTGGAGGAACTGATACGTGAGGTTGATGCTTTGGAAATATCTACAGAGGCCTTTGTGGGTGATGTCGATGGGATTACCTTGCTCCTCTGTAGCCCAGCATTTTGGCCATTGGACGAAGACATATCAGAAGTTTTCCTATGTGTTTGCCCATCAAGACTAGAAGTTGACTTCTTTATTTCCGAAAGCAGTTGATTTTTCTTAGATGTTGTATTAGTCCTTTTAAAAATTACTGGTCCATCCTCATCATCAAAATCATCCGTCATATTCAGTTTATCAGAAGCCTCAATAGCCATCATTCAACTCTGGAAGGTGTTGGCATATACATCACATCAATTTCTGGAGGACAAACAAGAAGTCTCCATAAGTTCTGGAGTATTACGCTGAGATTGAAAAACAAACTTAAAATTACCATTTGTTTACAGCAATAGCTCAGGAAATTGTGATCACACGAAGAGAGCAGAAAACCTCACAACTCATGCAAACAAGTCAAGCCTATCTGATCATTCAAATAAACTTTTAAAACAGATAGAATTCCAACAAGACAACCAATGAGCATATGCTCCACCATTGAATGTAAAAAGAATAACCACGAACAGAAGCAAAAAAAAAAAAAAAAAAAAAGTTTAAAGAGTACGCCATGAGCATTACGAGATTTTAGACAAATTAGGTGTTTTAAACGATATCGTTTTTCTGAGAAAAATAGAAAACCAAGTGAAAAGGCTGCTCACAAAGAAAAATTCAAATATTACCAAACCCTAATGCCCCGTTTAATGGGAGTGGAAGTAGAAGAGGAAATGAATTTTAAAGTGTGTTTGCTGTGGTGATGGAATTGATATACTATTTTTATATATGAGGAAAAGACTAAAAATACCCATTTAATTTATTTCCTGGAAAAAAAAAAAGGAACAGAATCGCAGACACGGAGAAGACATGAAAACAAGAACTGAAGAAGAAATCCACAATCAAAGACCCAATCCAAAAGCATCAGCAAAACACAATCTGAAAAATCAAACTGAAAACTCATAGCTAAAATGCATAAAAACCGAAATCGAAGAGAGCAGCGAACGAGAACCAGTGAAATAGAAAATCAGGACTCAGATAGAGAGCAACATAATCGAAATCGAAGGAAGCCAGAGCAAAAACTGAGAAACTGAGCAAAACACCACAAGCAAACATAATTATTGAATAATATGCGGAGAAACATCAGCTACATCTGGACAATGTATGATAAAATGAAATCGAAGCATGAGGACCAAACGCCGCCTGAGCAAAAACCAGAAATCAAAGGGAGAGGATTGAACGCTGTCCATGAAAACGAAATCGAGAGCAGAGAGTCAACCTCGGCGTGGTTGTCCTTGCCGTCGCTCCTTCACTCGTCCACGCCGTCGCCGTCCTTGCCGCCGCTGAACCGTGCCGTCACCGAGGGGGGGAGAGGCTATCGAGTCGAAGGGTAGAGAGACAGAGGGAAACCCAATTAATAAGGAGTTTGAATACATGAAGCAAATGGTAAGTTCATCTTTCATTTCAAAAAATAAACAACACAATGCTCATTTTCAACCATTCTGGAGTACGAAAATCATATCACTCTCAAAATCAATAGTTACCGCTGATAGTTGTTCTGAGGGCAATGGATTGTTGGACCCAAAAGAATCCCCCAGCAGCTATGCTGCTATTCTTATACAAAGAGATTCAATAAGGCGAAAATGTAAAAATGATAAAGGAAAATGAAGAAAGAAACCGAGAGCAATCACTGGAAAGGACGGGCATATAAATTTGTCAAATTGCAGAAGTAGCAGCAATTGCAGTCAGTGCCCCCAAATTGAAGGAGGAAAGGCAATAAATGTGAAAGACGGAGAGGTAGAAAAAGGGTAAAAATACTTCAAAGAATGTGGAGAAGGTGAAGTTGGAGTTGGGACGGTGAGTGGCAGGCTGAAATGAGCCGGGAGATAGGCATGAAAAACAAGCGCAAGGGCGAGAGAGCGCCAAGGTGGAGGAGCTAGGGTGAGTGATTGTAGAGAGAGAGAGAGAGAGAGAGCGCCTCGAGGATTTGGGGGGTCCGGTGGTGGCACAGCCTGACTTTGGTCTTATATTTCTTTACACGACACTTTGGTCAGCGTAGCGGTTAGCGCAATTTATTTCCATGTGATTTTCCCTTTTTCTGTGGACTAGTACCGCCACCACCCTTTGCATTGCATTGCCCGTTCAAGTTGACCTTATCCTCGCTTCAGGCCCAAACTTTGTGTAGGCCCATTTGCGATCAATTCCTAATTATTCATAAATTAATTTGGACGAAAGACAACCAACGGGGATTTGAGCATAATAAAAAAGACTTAATAACATACCAGGGGTGTTTAATATGAAGGTCATGAAGCTCTAATAGTACTTATTCAGTTAGATGCCTAACAAGTCCTGTAAAGTATTTAAGGAATTTGTAGATCGAGAATGCTTATATAAAAGAGGACATGGATTATTGCTTGGATGATGACATAAACAATTACATGTGCGAAATTCGAGTAGACATATGACAAACCACCCCCATAGCCACCATGGCAAGTGAATCATTAGTGCATGAATACTTAGATTTTGAGAAAATTAAGAGCACGTTTGAAGAGCCCAAAAAGAATATTTGAATCCAATTCCCATGTTAGTAAAAGCCCAATACAATTATATGTACATGGAGGAGTGAATTAGAGCTATAATCTTTTTAAATTGGAACCCAAATGCATTATGTGATGGACCATAGGAGCTTCAGAACGTGATTCAACTATATTTAAGTCCAAATGGATGTCTTAAAAGCCCACACATGCTAATGAACATGAACAGCATTTATGAAGATCCATTTAGAAGGTCTAAAAAGATTCAAGAAGCATTAACGATAGTCTTATATGGCTTTAATTAGGATTTTATTTGCTTTAATTAGTTTCCTAATTTACACTATTCTATTTTGTATTAACTACTTCTTGAAGGCTACGACTTACCTATTTTGTGTTACCAAAAAAAAATTAGTAGAGTTAAATAAGATCATTCTCATTAATAATGGGATCCTGTTAGATAGTGTGTGATCTAGATTATTCTATCTTGACTAGCAAGTTAGAGTATTTTAGAGGGTATTTTGATTTTCCTAATTTTATTGTATTTTCGTATATATTTTTGATATATTTTACTTAGCTAGTGTTTTAGGCTCTAATAACTTATAATTGGCTCTTAGAGCTTAGATTATCAATTAGGGTTTTTATTTTAGGATTTTCAAGAGTCTTAATTTATAAATAATTCAATATGTTTGCTTTTCACAAAAGATGATGTGAATGATTGGTAATATGAGAATTTTATTCTCTTTGTGTAAGCCTTGCTTGCATTATCATATTCTCGTTACAATACTCGACAGTATCAAGGAATTGATCAACCTTGTGATGTCTTTATGATTAGGGTTATAAGAGACAAGTTTTTTTTAAAGTCCTACCCTGATCATCTATCCGGTTTCTTATGTTTTAGGTTATAAGAGACAAGTTCTCTTGGGGTCTTATTCCATCCTATACTTGTTTCTAGCTGGTCTGTATGTCCCCCTATATCAAGTGATATCAGAGCTAAGTTTTGCTAGAATCAAGTAAAGAATGGACAGATGATCTATTTTCTATGCATTTTATTTACTTGATTCTTAAGGTCCTACCTAACGTGATGAAGGAGTATGGTATGATCAAGATCAAGTTTCAAAGGAAGAGCAAGGAGCCCAACATATGAAAAGAAGTTCTACATTCTAAAAGATCCATTATAAGGCATTAGAGGCCTAATGATAAGAGCAAAGACCAAAGCTATGAAGGAGACCCTGAATTGTCTAATAAGAGAGCTAAAAGAGTTAGAACTCATTTATTTAGAAAAAGCACATTTTAGTGAGCCTAAAAAGAGTCTAAAAATGGTAATCACATTGCTAGAAGCCCAACAAGATGATGTACAAGGCCTATGTGGAGTTTGAATTGAAGAATTTATTTAAAATACCATGTGACAAGAATGTGCCTTAGAAGAGGAGTATAAATAATGTTCAAGAACTTTCAAGAAGCATCAAAAGGAGTCATTATGCATTAGTTAAGATTTAAATTCATTTTGTAAGGAGTTTTCCTCTTTTTTTTTTTTAATTTGGTTTGAATAAGGCCTTTTAGTTAAGGACTATTATGAAATATTATATTTTGATTAAGTTTCCTATTTTCAAATAGCAAACTTATTCTTGAAGTTTAAGTTATTTTCTTTTATCTTTATGTAATAAATGGTACCTTCCATAGTCAAATAATCATTAATAATGCATCATTCCTAACATTCATGTCTTAGGATCCTGATTCTAAAGTGTTATATGGCTACTTATGTATAGGCTAAATTTTTGTATTTGAATTTCAGATTTAGATGAATGAGAATTGAGCTTATTTCTCTCTATGTGAGCTTTGCTGACATACTTGTATTCTTATGTGAATACTCAATAGCATCAAGGGATTGATCAACCGTGGTGTCTTCATGGCTAGAGTTGTAAGAGACATGCCTTGTTTGGTGACCGATTCTTAATTAGAGATTGATGAAGTTGAGACTATTATGAGAGAAGCATTAGTGGCTAGAAGAGTCCTAAATATACATGTAAAGGAAGATGATGAGAAAGAGCAATGCGAGCTTATCTTCCACACAAGGTGCTTCATAAAGAATAAGGTATGCAGCATGGTTATTGATAGTGGTAGTGTTAGCAATGTTGCTAGACTTTACTTGTTGAAAAGTTGGACTTGCCTACTATGAAGTGAAACATCCTTCCTTAAACTCCTTCTAATGCTCGTTTGAAAGCGTTATGGTTGAAGTAATTCACGAAACAAGCCTGTAAATTAAAAATTCAAAAGTTAATTCTCGGTTACTGTTCCCTAGTTAATTCCAGATTTTCGGTTTAACTTTGAAAAATCATAACTAATTACAGAAAAATATTATCAAGGTTATTCAAAATTTTATTTGAAGCTCTTTCAATTCTCTATAGAAAAAAAATATAAATATGGCCTTAACCTTTATCAATTTGTGCAATTTATTATATAAATTTTATTGTTCATTTGGTAAAAACTGTACTTTCCAGATTCTTTGCTCTAACTTTGATCAATCATAAGTTTTAGTACACATATTTATTTTAAGTGATATATCATTTGTTTTAAAACTTAGGATGTGTACTTTAATCATACCAAATTTCACGGGTACAATCAATTGTTTGCCTTGCTTTCGCTCTGCCACCATTTCATGACTTATTTAGGGATAACTTATCCTCATAACTTGCATTAACAATTCATGATTAATTCCTTTTATGCATATTATAATTCCATACATATACTAACCAAGCTATACATCATCATAGCCAATTATACATGCCATCATCATTATTTAACATCACATCACATTAGTGATATGTTCATAACATATATTGGTATACAATTACACAATGTAACAAAAGATATTTCCTCAATTCTTTTCCCCTTTTCCTTACATCCACTTTATGATTTCTTCTCTCATGCTCTTTGCACCTATTATAGTTGGTTAAGGGAGGGTGAAATTTGGGAGAATGTTAGTAGCAAACATTACCATCAATGCATGCAAGATGGATGCAAGTGTATGACATGCTTACTTGATCTAACTTATGCTTACTTATAACATGTTTTCATGCTCAATGTTTCACATTAACATGCATCAAATAACATAATACACATCAACACACAAGCACATAAGAAAGGTAAGTTTACTATCTTGTATTTTTAAGCTTTACTTCCCTGCTCTCTTTTATCCCAACCACCAAGATTGCTTGAACAATCTTGCCGTTCCTCTTTCTTGGTATCTCATGACCCTAAATTCACAATATACAATAATAACCAATCCATTAAGACCATGAAAAACCATTAACCATCTTGACTCTTAAACTTGTTTCCCTTTAATCTTAAATTTCACTTTCTTTTCCATAGCCTTTAAAATCATTTCCTTAGTCATTTCCTACACAATTTTCCATGAGGAATCCAAATATGAGCTTGAATTTATTAAAATCCAACTCCTTCCCCTATTTCTTGAGTTGGCTAAATCATAGGGTCTTAGGATCTAAAATTCTCATCTTTAATTTCAATGCTTCTAAATTTATTTTCTGAACATAACCCTACACAATTTTCATTCTAAACCCATTGGAAGCATCAAAATTATCAAAATCCAATCTTAATACAAAGAACTAGCCTTGGCTGAATAGTCCCCTTAAGTTAGGCAATCATAAAATTCAATCAATTTCAACAGAAACCACTTGATTCTTGTTCCTTTCAAGCCTTTAAACATTATTCTAACATCAATTTCATCTCTCCTTTAAATTAGAAATTTTGTGCAGCATACCCTCCAAGGTTGCAAGCTCCCAAAACCATCAAAACCCATAATGAAGCTCAACAACAACAAGGATAATGGAAACTAAATCAAAAACCATGAATATACCTTATTTTAGAGCTCGATCTTACATAGAATCACTTAAACTTCCTCTTCTCCTTCTTCCCTTGCTTAGTTCAGTCTCCCCTCTTCTCTTTCTCATTTGGCTAAAACTTGACCTAAAGGGAGGGTAAGGGGTATATATAAAAGCAAGCTTAAATCTTGACCATTGATCTTGTGTATATGTGCCTTAATCTTGGCTATCCATTTTACTTCTTTGTCTTTTGATGACATGTGTCCTCATGATAGCATGCTTACATCATCTTACTTACATGATGTTTACATCATCAAGCCATGTATGCCTCCCTTATATCTCATCTTTTATCCAACCGTACACGTAATACCTTCTCCTCTTATCTAACCATACACAAAATACCTTGCATGTCCCTTCATCATTTTGGCATTAAAATAAGAAGACTAATAGAAAATTCGTGCAAAATGCAGCCTCTAGATATTCCTCCACCTATCTTATCATTCTGCACCGTATCGAGTACTTTTTCAGGTCCTGACTTATCCCGTACTACTGGGACATGTTTTGACACACTTTTGTCATCTTAATCAAGTCCACATATGGTGCTATCT